CCTCCCTTCACACCCCCTCCCCGCACCCTCTCACCCACCCTCCTCCCCCTTTCACCCTGTCCCTGTTCGTCTACCCCCAGCTCTGTTGTTACAACCGGCCCTCCACACAATCCAGCCTTCTGACGGCTGGAGATGAGGCGTACTTCCTGTCTAGCGGGCCCTCTTCCGGCCACATACTGACCGTTGACCCCTTCTGGTGGCACGGTGACCCCCGGAGGTCAGAGGAGGAGGACATGATGCCCCATCGGTGGTGCTGCGAACAGGCTGACGAGACACATTGCCGGTTCTACTACAAGGTCCGGCCCAGGACTCCATGCAGGGCAACGGCGGGATATACGTCTGGTGGGTTAAAACAAAGATCGTGTATAACAAGACTGTTCACTCTTCTCTTTGAGCCAAGAAAAAAAAATTGTCCTCAAAATTTGGCAGCGCCCTCTAAGTAAAAGCGCGGACTTTTCGAACAGAGTTACCCTACTTGTGTGAAAAACAATAAAAGTGAAACTAACAAACAGTGCTAGATCTATTCCTATTCTTTTTCTGGAGAAACGAAAGAAAGCTTCAAAACAAAGACTGCAGCGCCATCTGAAGCAGTGCGGGACTTCCGTGAACCATCTTGTTGTATACGTTTTTTGGTTAAAAGTGGTGCACATTGGCAGGTTCGGTTCAGTTCGTTTTGATTCGGCGCGATGCGATTTCATTCGGCAAGGCTCGGTTTGTTCGTCGGCCTATAGCCAGATTTTCCTCCATGGAGGGGCAAATGCTACATCTGTGGTACAAACCAAACGAAACCGACGATGACTTTTAAAAAATAAACGTGTTTGTTTTCTAGGCTGCAAGTCCGACGAACAGTTTGAGGAAGGGGTCTATTTGTAGCGTGCACTGAAACCTCCAGAAACCGAACCAAAGGGAAATGATCCCCCAATGGGCATTGCCAATTACTTGATCGTTTTTTTTTTTTTTGGGGGGGGGGATGTGAGAGCAGTAGGTGGAGGAGAGGGTGGGGTAGGAAAGAGTGGAGGGGCAGGAAAGAGTGGAGGGGCGAGGGAGAAGAATGAGGGAGGAGAAGGAAGGAGGGGAGGGAAGGGAAAAAAAGGAGGGCGGAAAAGGTAGGAGGGGAAGGAGGGGTTTGGAGGAGGGAGTGAGCGGGGGGAGGGGGTGTTAGTGAGTGAGTGAGGAGCCTTGACACCTCGCCCGGCCAATTAAGTGGGGGAGGAGGGAGTGGGGGGGGATGGGGAGGAAGGAGAAGGAAGGAGGGGAGGAGGGCGTAGGGGGAGGGAACGGGGAGGATAGAGGAGGGGGGAGGAGAAGGGAGAATGGAGCGGAGGAGAACCTTGACTCTTTCATCCCTGAGACGTATCTGGCTTTGTTTTAGTTTAGTTTATGTAAGAGTTTTATGGCACTTGCAACACAATAAGGTCATGTACAATGTAAGTGTCGACGATTGCAAGAGTTGCAAGAGAGTAACACAAATACAACCACAAAAAGAAGGTAGGAGAGATAAGGACGATAGATGTTTTATAGGAAAGAAGGAGCAAACAACATCAGAGCACCC